AGTAGGGTCTTCCACTCGAAGCAAAAACATCCTTCCTGAGGTGTCGGGGTCGAAAATGCAGACTTTAACGGAATTAGCTTGAGCAGCTTACAACGCCTTTTTGAGTATGCGCACCTGGGATGCCTACATGATTCAACGAAACCATTGCGTCAAGTTGGTCCACGAACAACAAGATTCGGTGATAAAATTTGGTGTTAATCCTAAAATGCTCTTCAGGTATGTGAACAAACTCGGGAGTGTAGTCCGAAATCTCAGGTCCACGTGGAGCAGATGGTAGGGCGTCAACACCACAAGAGGCGACAAACGCACCTCGACAACACTTCATCCGTATTTTCCAGATGGAATCGTCAACTCAGCAAACTTTTACGCAGGGTTAGACAAACGTATTCTTCACTGTAGCGATTGTGATGAAAAACTACTATCTTTGCGCGCGCATAGCTCTCCTGGCAAGGACGGCATAAAACCGAAGGCACTAAGGACAGCCACCGTGAACCTCACCGAAACGTTAGCTCGGTTCCTTTAAGGATGCCTTGACGAAATGCATGTCCCACAATTTGAAGACATGGAATATTCACTCCTATTTACAAGAAGGGGGGAATCTTCACATTTGGCAGTGATCGGTGACCGCCTCTGGTGGAATTCTTAACACACGCTTTGGCCTTCATACCAATTATCACATTCTACCTGGTTACAATTGTTATCATGTTTTGAAATCGCGCTCACAGGCTGTTTTTTTCCGACGGCCACGTTATAATGAATAGACTGAAAATAATTCAGAAACGCAAGAATTGGGTAAGAAAACGCCGCACTGAGTGGAAGGTTGCTTCTCGGAAGAGAAATTCTGGAAGCATGAGCACACCGCAAGCATCTATTCGCTTTTAGGGAAAATGGATAAATTAACGAGTACCATCAACTGCCGAGAATATTCGCAGTTAGGCTTCATTTTACCACAAGAGACCTGGCTTCACGAGGGGGTACATTGTGCACTTGTCTCGGTAGAATGGTTCAACTGTCATCGGGTCGACCGCCCTTGAGCGCACCGTAACCATGGTGGTGGAGTCATCATGTACACCAACACATCCTGGTGCATAACTGCGAAAGTTTGGTTTTACTCCTTTTCGCAACGCATTAGCTGCTTAATTTCGAATTGCAAGCCAAGTTGTGTCATTGGGTACCGTTCAATCTTATTAGTTAACATCCATACTCCTTCACAAGTCCGAAAACCGTAGCAGAGGCATTGTACGATGAGTTTGCTGCGGCTGTCACATCGACGGTTCCCTATGTATTTTTGCTGGTGATTTTAACCGATGAGAAGCACTTTTCTCAGGAATCTTGGGCTAGAAAACATTGCGAACTGACCCCATAGATACAATTCGACGTGAAACTATTCTGCGTGTATGATGGGCGCCGCTTAGCATGAGCATCAGGCGTTCCTGAGCAGCAAACATAATGCACACTGGGGCTAACTTTATGGTATATTCTATGCAAACTCAACGACACAGTTGATACACCATCGGTTGACACCAACGGTTAGTACTCCGAAACACCACATGCACCAGACAACGCTGGTTAGATCAAAGTAATAGACACGTGCCAACCTCAGTGAAGTTGGCAGCCGCGATGAAGAAACCGAGTGGTCAAGGGAACGATAGATCAACATGGATCGACTGTGCCTCCAAACCTCTAGATCTGTCGGTTCTGATCATCTGATTCCCATCACATCTTTTACCAGCTCTATCAACTGAGCCACACGTGTGGGTTAAACGAAGCACTGCATTGATTACTAAGACGAACAGGTGGGGAACCCAAACGCTGGGCCCAATATCAGGATGTTTTGTGCACAAACACTTCAGAATCGCAATCTAGTAACATGAAGGGGAAGCCAATAGACGACTGTATCCAAGTGGAAGTCCATTTGTGGCGCGATTGGCATTTCGCTTGAGTCTACGAGGCTTAGACGGGTCACACGTCAGCAAAATTCAATGAACTACAGTGAACCTCGACTTTCCCAGGTGACACAGTTCCGCTGAGGACATAGAGATCATTCTACTGCCGTCGATTCAGCTCCGCAACTTATCACAGGAGGTACGCATAATTTCGGACATCCGTTGGAAAGGAAGCATAACACAATGGGTCGAGGACGTAAGCGAACCATTGTACGACGTTAACGTCCAGTCTCCTTGCGATGGGAAAAATCGCAAAGGAGCCTGCCAATGCTATGAAAGAGTCAACCAAATGACTTGATCATGCTGATCCAAGCCGTTCCATTAAATTCGGTTTACAGCGTGGGTCACATATAGACATCGACATGGTTTTGTGGTAGTTAATGGAGCTATGTATTGGGTTCTTCACTTATACTTGGTTGTTACGTCAGAGTGGCATACTTAGCTTTTTCAATCTTAGTCGTTTGAATAGTATTCCCCGAAGATGTCAACGGCCGCTGTACTTCGTAACAATCGTAAGCTATTCCCTCCCATCCGCGAAACACGCGGCAGAAGTGCTGTGGTCAGCGAAATTATATGAGACAAGAGTGAACAACCTAGTCACAGCCTGTCAAAACACTTGGTACGTTGGACAACGATCTTCACATCTTTCAATGGCGGTTGCTCGTGTACCTCAGAGACGTAATCACTATGGATGGGGCGTGGCTAGGAAATCTTGAACAGGAAAAGGGAACAGCCCCGTAGTCAGTGGCAGTGATCTCTAGACGCCCAGTACCTACTAACAAGCCGCTTGCCACCATGCACTGAAGGTGCCACCTAGATTGGTAGCGAAACGTGCGGTCAAATGGCTCAGCTCGGAGAACATATCAACTTTGAAAATCAATTTAATCAGCCGGAACTAGCAGATTCGCTGTCCCCAAGTGAACATTCTGTTTCCTAAGCAGTTTATTTGGATCCGGCATCTCGCGCAGAAGCCGAAGGGGAGATCAGACTATTTGTAAACGTACGAGGCCACAGAACCAGATGAGCTTCCTCCAGTCCTGTACAAATTCGATGGACCAGGTTGTAGACAATTTGCATGGTGAAACTGGGAACATGAACCTGTTCAAAGCGACTGGAGGCGACCAAATTTTAAACGGGGGTCGTGACCGGAATGTGGCAACGATACAGGTAACAGCTTGACCTCCATCATCTCAGCTACTTGTCTCTGTGTTTCTTCATACACTGACTGGCACCGATGGTAGCCAGATTCGTAAAGAGCAAGCCAGGTTTCGTCAAAATGGAGGTTGCATTGATCACATCTGCACTGTAGCTCAATTTCTGAAGCATCGCCAATGGTAGTAGCGACCCACTACAGTCGTGTTCCTCGATATCAATGGCGCTATTCCGAACCACATGATTAGGGAAGGCATTTGAGAAATAAGTAAATATTATAGGCTCGCAGCTCGAGTAGGGCAAAGGCACATGGCAAACTGTCATAGCTCCTCAATACGTCTGGCAGAGTGAGACAGGGACTCTTGATGTCACCCCATCATTTAACCTCGCTTTTGATGAAGTCATGGAAGCTGCGTTCGCTGGACACTACTGAGGTGTGCAGCTGGTCCTAGGAGTATGCCACCACCTTACAAAATTGTTAGGCAGCAAATGAAAGACTAACACTGGCTGTCAATGATTTCGGGTTGCGCATTACACCTTGTAAACTAAATGCTTTCCTCCAAGATCGTTAAGGAACAAATCTTGCATTGATAAATGGTGGGCATCAACTAAAAATCTTTCTGAAATTCAACGATCTGGACAGTTATATCGGCGCCTGTAGAACACATGATATCACAAAATCTCGAGACGTTTGTGCACAACTTCGTTATTTATGGCGATGAAGCAACATAGATATATATCTACCAGCTCTCTATTCTAGATATTTATGAGGACGGTGCGAAATCACGCTCACTCTGAAGAGCAATCTACAACACAGCCATCCGTTTATCTCAACTGTACAGCAGTGAAAATTGGCCCATCTTATCGACAGAGATAAAAAGGGGACCTGCGCTTGACCATGGCTGCTTTCGCAGCTTAGCTCATGTCTGGTGGGAACACCGCGTAAGCAATGTGTATTCGGCATCTTATATCTGGTGCCGGAAGAGTGAACTGCTCAGCACCGTTACATCACTTACCAGGACGAGAAGGTTAGGTCATGATTTGCGCACACCGAATTCCACGACATATTGTCTGCACGACGTGGTCTGGACGAAATGGGACAGGAAGCAAATCGTGCTCAGTCAGGAGGACTGAAGGCTTCACTTCGGACTTAGCCTCGATTTGTGCCTCCCGACTGCCTGGTTGGAATCCGAAAGACGATGAACATGATTGATTGAATATACTGGTTCACACGGCGAAAAGCAAACATCAATGAGGTCTGTGGTGCGAGTCCCTTTGCATAATAAAAAAACAGTATAACATTATTTGTACTGCATTTGTCTCATTCTGTTTTTACGATTATATGATTCTATCGTACTGTGGTACAATGGGTGAGGTGTTTTTCACCCCTATCCAACGTGTGTGATAGTGCCGATGCACAAAATGAGTCTATAAACAGTTTTTTACACATCACATGGCACAAGAGTTAAGGCTGCCGAGATGCGTATTTCTCATAAATAGGAATTATGCAGGACCGCAGCCGACAACGTAACTTTGCCGTACAATCCTAGAATTATGTAGTCGATGTGATACTATAGGTGAAGTCACCGGTGATAAAGTACGTGTAGACTTCTAGACATTTCAGATATCTAGTGACAGTGTCCGGAATGTGAAATTGCACACCTCGCTATCGACAGAGAAGTTGATGCATCGTGGATTGCACAAATGTAAAAAGAGCCAAATTTGTGTTTCAGACAAGTGTTGCGAAACTCACCCCGTGACGTGACGATGGCAAGTTTTGAGAAGTAAACCATTTCGTATTGAAATGTCAACATGATTCACAAGAAAACGCACTCGGCGTGCGGTGGAATATGTGAAACAGTCTGCTCACTCGCACAAACCATGACTGTCCTCGCCGCAAGTTCCGGTAGTCTAGCAGATTGTTTTAAGTAGAACACATAATTGAGTATCATGAGGCGAATGAGAAGACTGTATATGAAATCTCACGACACGAGTGTAATTCCGAGATAGCATGACAGGAAAAGAGTTACGCGGTAAAAGCATGTAGAAAAATCCAAAATCTCGGGAAACTGCAAAAGAGAATTATCGAAAAATCGGGGAAGTGGGGATCAAATGTAGCTCGAAATAAAAAAATCCCAATGCTGATCGATAGAATTGTCAAAGATTGGTGCGGGGTAGGAATGGAATAAACAAATCCCTCAATTGCAAATTGTCACATGAATTGCAGTGCCAAACAGATTGGAGAGAGGCTAATCACTTCGACTCCATCAAACGCGCTTTTAATAATGCGCGCAATGCATTGGCGTCACTGGCAAAGCGTCTGACACCTTCTGACAGTTTATCGGTCGCCATTTCGTCTTCGTTCAACAGCCAACGGAAAGTTGCCTCATCCATCGGTGAAGGGATAGGCGCGTCGTTCGTCTTCGAATCCTTGGCTAGAATGTCAGGGGCACATGGTAGAGAAGGGTAGTTCACAAGAATTTCCACTAACGTGCGCAACCATGAGCAACAGATCAAGGTATTGGATGTGTTGTGATTATAACAATGGTATACTGGTACGCTTATTTCCAGAATCAACAATACATGCACACTTACTGACCACTCAAACAAGAGGATTTACTGACTTGATCTAACTAAATGCGCCGAACCAGATGAAACCCCTTGGGTGTTCGCGTTCATCTTGATCACAATTCCAGGCCCTGGATCCGTGTGTTTATGACGCGAGGTTGATGGGATGAGAATGTGTGTCGCTGCACGCTGCGTAACGCGTGATGACGTCGGTTAGAAACCTGAGTTTCATGTACCAGAATAGTTGCCGATAAGTAGAAAGGCCTAATTTCCTGCACATCTAGATGGGATCAGATGTAGGACACCGTCGAATCAATCATAACAAATCAGACAGCACGTGGACGAAAGGAACAAGCGCCCTAACGATTAAGTTCGAGCTAGTAGGTGAGTGGTACTTTGTAGGATTGAAATGTCACAGATAAGAGGTTATTGCACAGACAGGTACACAAAGTTAAAGTGGACAGAATGAAGAGGATGAAACAACCTCTCTACAGTGGTTCCGGACATGCTTCTTAGTTCCCCACCACATTCCACCTAGCGCACATTCCAGAACAACTTGCAGCGATAGGTGGGCGGTTAAAAAGAAGAATCCGAGTTGAACTGCCAAAGCATAACGTATTAACGAAGAAGCATGAGTCACACTGGACCCTATTTAAATGATTCGTCGCAATCAAGTTCCAAAAAGCTATTCCATCCTATTGGGACACTTTGGTGGCATTGTATTCCCCTGCCCTACTAGCGGCCAGTCAAATGGACAAAATGCGGAGACAAGCGAAGCCACGAGGGATTAGTACAGGTAAAGAAGATAGGACAACGATCTTACTGCAGATGTCTTTTGAATTTTGCTGTCCAGTAAGTCAATGGAGTTTAGGTGAATGAACGCTGACTTCAACCGGGCCATCAGATATTCAAAGCATCTTCTACATACTCAACACCTAAGTGTAGCTGACATGTTGAGGTTTCAAGCGACAGCCGAGGCGGTCTGACACAAAGTCGAAGAACAGAAAGAAAAATATCGAATTGTGTAAAAAAGTGGTGCATTAAAAACAAGACTGGAGTCCGACACCGCCGTGTCGGTCAAATCTCCTAGCGCAAATTGATGTCACCAGGGCTCACAACACCGCCTTTACTTCCTATGGAGATCTAGAAGTTACACGGCCAGTGATGGAGTACGTGCGGTACATGGCTGAATTTCGCATGATATCATTCGAGAGAGCAGAACCCGGAAGATAAGGCTCGCGAACTCGGAATGTGGCAAACTAGTGATGAGAAGGGAGGGATGAGAGGCAATAGACGGCTTCTTAGTTGATAACTTGGTTGCAAACGGAAAGCAGTGGCCACAAATCACAGACCTATCTGTTCGTCGTTCACACTTCAGGCCGGATGGCAAATGCCGGAAACGTCTAGCACGGTCAGAGGGATGGGTTCAAGCGTGCACTGAGCCAAGTGAGTACTGTCCTAGGCAACCTCTTCGCAAGTGATCAGGCGGAGCTGGAGAAAACGACTAAGGAAGTTACCGGAGAAACAAGAAGCAAAGTTACGCATTTCGCTCACAAAGACAAAAAATGAAGAAAAACTCCACCGAGGTTCCCAGTCAAACATGAGGAATATGTACAAAATCTATCATGATTGGAGTCATGTCATTGCATCCTAAGTTCCGTCACCCTACTAGTAAGGATAATAGACCGGCAATAGAGGCGCAGTTTGAGAATTTGCATACACAAACTTCGCAACTGATCCCATCCCCTGAAGTGCATGCAGGAGTGTTTAAGTCCCTGTTGGTGCATGCCTGTTATCAATGCCGGCGTGCTCGGATAGTGCACCAAACTTCCGTGAAACTTGAGCACTTTCAAGCCTTACACCGTTTGCTTAGCAGTGATGAAATACGCTTGCTGATCAGGCATTGTCATCCTAAATGGAGCAGACTACCTCAACAAAATATTAGTTTTGAAAATGACAAGTGAACGAGACAAAGCAAAGCGAAAAGCAATTGTGCGTATGCATCAAAAAAGCTTAATAATGGTGGTAATATCGGTGAATCGGTTTAAGGGAACCTACGCCACGTGGGCACGATTATTCCAGAGCTTTAAGGTCCTCCCGAAACACATAAGCCTAACTGTGCTTTTCGACCGGTTTTGGACATGAGAAACTTCCTGTACCACACGATTTCTCGTTGGCTGGTTAAGTTTCTTGAGCCTGTTCGTATACGAGTCGCTGTACATACATTAAAAGACAAGTTTGAGTTTTAAATAAGACAATAAGAAGGCTGGTATTGCGAGATGGAACCATTTCGTGTTACCTGCTCACTCGCAAACTAACAACATATGTATATATATATATATATATATATATATATATATATATATATATATATATATATGAATCACTTGACAGAAAAATCGAAGATTTGAAACTGGTCACAAGGGAAAAATTACGTAGGCGCAAGAACGACAGATCAGCATCTTGATCTTAGGGTCATGAGCCCCAAGGCAGCTTCAGGGAGACTGTTAATTGTTTTTGTACACACAGGATAGTGCGATGCTGGTTAAGTGCAACCGCTTCGGCAAACCTCAACACTTTGGGGTTGTCATTTCGGTAGATAACTGTAAATGTTGACCTAGGGTCAACCTGATGACCTGATTCTAGTAGATGTCTGGCGATCGATGAGGCCGGCAGCTTAGATATCTTTTCTCGTTCGGCTGCTTGTTGTGTCGATAGTTTGGCAATCCGTTTTGGGATATGCTCTCCAATGCGCTTATCCAAGGATCGATCTGTTCTGCCAATGTAACTACTACCGCAGTTACAAACGAATTGGTAAATGCAATGGGTTGTGGCGGAGATCGGTTGAGTAGGCTTCACTGGAGGCATAGGCAACTTCCTGGTCTCCCAAATGAGGCAGAATTTGGTGGCGTTGAATGTCCGACGAATCGCTGTATGCACACGACTTTCGAGTTGGGCGGCAACGATATCACCTTTGAAAGGGAATTGAAGGTAGACAGACAATTTGGGCACAGTAAGTACCGTCGGCCTGTTTTCCTTCAGTTGACTGTGGAATCGAATAAACGCTTCTGGATATGCGTTGGCTCGTAGCGTCTGTGTGATAAACAGCAATTTCGATTCCAAACAGTCTTCAGTGCATATTCTGCGGGCTCGATTAAACAGCGTCTTGACTAAGCACCGCCTGTATTGTATAGGGACGAAGCTGTTGAAGTGTTCATACAATCCTGTCCATGTAGCTTTCCTGTGAACAGAACGCTTTATGGAGCCGCCTTCTCGTCTGGTCAATGGATGTACAGTCTTTGTTCACTAACATCCCATTAAGAGAAACGGTGGATTTCTTATGTGAGTTTATCATAAGTAATAAAGTAATGTTGCCGATTCCCGTGGAATACCTTAGGGATTTGCTGCTACTATGCACTGAAAAGGTGCATTTCTTATTTGAAGACAAGCCGTATCGACAGGTGAATGGTGTGGCTATGGGAAGTCCGCTAGGTCCGGTATTGGTTGACATCTTCATGACGATGGTTGAAATGAGATGTGAGCAGCACATCAATCAAATCAGTTTGTACAAGCGATACGTAGAGGACACATTAGTGATCGCCCCAAGTGGAGACGCTGTTCTATCTTTTCTCAATGTGCTCGATAACACATATCCAAACGCCCGTTTTACCTGCGAACTGGAGGATAACAATAGCCTTCCGTTTTTGGATGTGGTGTTGACCAGACGAGAAGACGGCTCCATAAAGCGTTCTGTTCACAGGAAAGCTACATGGACAGGATTGTATGAACACTTCAACAGCTTCGTCCCTATACAATACAGGCGGTGCTTAGTCAAGACGCTGTTTAATCGAGCCCGCAGAATATGCACTGAAGACTGTTTGGAATCGAAATTGCTGTTTATCACACAGACGCTACGAGCCAACGCATATCCAGAAGCGTTTATTCGATTCCACAGTCAACTGAAGGAAAACAGGCCGACGGTACTTACTGTGCCCAAATTGTCTGTCTACCTTCAATTCCCTTTCAAAGGTGATATCGTTGCCGCCCAACTCGAAAGTCGTGTGCATACAGCGATTCGTCGGACATTCAACGCCACCAAATTCTGCCTCATTTGGGAGACCAGGAAGTTGCCTATGCCTCCAGTGAAGCCTACTCAACCGATCTCCGCCACAACCCATTGCATTTACCAATTCGTTTGTAACTGCGGTAGTAGTTACATTGGCAGAACAGATCGATCCTTGGATAAGCGCATTGGAGAGCATATCCCAAAACGGATTGCCAAACTATCGACACAACAAGCAGCTGAACGAGAAAAGATATCTAAGCTGCCGGCCTCATCGATCGCCAGACATCTACTAGAATCAGGTCATCAGGTTGACCCTAGGTCAACATTTACAGTTATCTACCGAAATGACAACCCCAAAGTGTTGAGGTTTGCCGAAGCGATTGCACTTAACCAGCATCGCCCTATCCTGTGTGTACAAAAACAATTAACAGTCTCCCTGAAGCTGCCTTGGGGCTCATGACCCTAAGATCAAGATGCTGATCTGTCGTTCTTGCGCCTACGTAATTTTTCCCTTGTGACCAGTTTCAAATCTTCGATTTTTCTGTCAAGTGATTCATATATATATATATATATATATATATATATATATATATATATATATATATATATATATATATATATATATACATATGTTGTTAGTTTGCGAGTGAGCAGGTAACACGAAATGGTTCCATCTCGCAATACCAGTCTTCTTATTGTCTTATTTAGAATGATAAAGGGAACTCAGTGCTTTAAGTTTGAGTTTGCCTATGCTGTGCGCAATGTGAACGTCACGAACCGAACTACGTGCTCCCTCGAGGT